GAGAGAGAGAGAGATTTCATTTCTAAAAATAAAGAGTAGTAATCACATGAGCACTCACACATTGTGAGCTATTTGGTTGCATAGCACCCCACTCTTGTGCTGTCATAGCTCCATCCAGACCTCAAGGATGAGGTCCCGGTAAAATGTAAAACTCTGGGAGATTGTCTATTTTGAATGGAGGGTTAAGATTGTCCTAATCACAATGTCACGTCTCTGCACTATTTTATTTTTAATCTTTATTTTTATAAACTATTTCGATACAAAATTTTGGATGTCCAATCCTCTATTAAATTCATACTAGCAAAAAATATAAAAACAATATTTTCAATAAAATAAAATGATCAAAATACCCTTACAAATTTCAAGGGGTATTTTGGTCATTATATTTTATCAAAAATTTATTTTTAATATTTTTTTATAGGTACGTCCCAATGAGAAGATGACACGTACCAAATTTCATATTCATACAGTTTGTATAAAAAAAAGAAAACTAAAATACTTTGAGACATCGGATCTAGATAAAACGGTGAGTAGCTCTCTTGATCAAAATTGAACGGTTGGGTGGTAGGGAGAGGATAGTTCTTCTATGCTGTTGGGAAAGTATAGAAACTTTTTCCAAGTAATTTTACCGCTCTCGATATTTTAGTCTAAGAAGGGTGATGACTTTAAACTTTTTTTTAACATGTTCCAAAGCCTAGGTAAAGAAGGTGAGTTGGGTTAGGTAGACACATAACATAAAATTTTGCCATAATTATCTATGTATCCTGAGTCAATGATTCTTCTAAACTCCACTAAACTCTTCAACATTCATTAAATGGCCTTGTTTAGGGGTGGCAATTGACCCGAACCTGACCTGAGAACCGACGGGTATACCCGACATGGGTCCGGGTATAGGTCCAACATTTGGACCTTTGTTTCACCCCTAATAAGCAAATCTCCATCACTTCCTTCATTTGTTCGTCTCTTCAACCAAGGAAACCCTAATATACCTTGAATTCTGCCATGTAATGGATCTCATTAATAAATAAGTTTTTTATCACACCGTCATTAGAAAGGAATGACATTGCCCCCAACTAAGCCAAGTAATTTTGATGCAAAGCTTCCATGATTCCGGATTTGCTTTGAAACCAAGCTCTCACTTCTTTTCCCCCTCTTTCTCTCTCGCTTTCTCTTTAAATCCCCCTTTTTCTCTCTCGCTTTCTCTTTAAATCCACCATCTCTATGTTTTTTTTTTTTCTCTAATTCCTCCACGGTCTATTTTCCATCTGATCCACTTTCTCTGTGCATTCTTTCTCATCTTTATAACATCCATTATTGTGGATTTTCTCTCTGTTCCTTTGATTTTATCCCTTCTCTTCGAAATTTTTTTAATTTATTTTAAAAGAAATGGGTGCTTTTTTATCGACATTCGGTTTAGCATGTACTCATAAATGAATTCACTCAGCAAATTGATGTTGCGCTTTTTAGTCTTGACCCTTCAAATGGGTTAATATTCTTTTTTTACAAAAAAAAATTACAAGGAGAGTCGTGATAGAACCAGAGATAGAAAAAGGACTTGAAATTCAGCAAATAGGCAAAAGAATAAAAACATGGCTTCTCTGAACTAGAACTACGAACAGGCAGGGGCCTGTCCTCTCAGACCTTCAATATTTTATATACCTAAGAGGACATGAGAGAGAGAGCTTCATGGGAAAGAACATGTTTTTTATCGAATTGCATAGTATGAGATTGCATAGATTTTCCCTTTTTTTTTAAAAAAAGAAAAAATGACCATTACACGGCTTTATGAGTGACCTGGCGTCCCCATCTATCCTCGAGATTTGGATTGAGATCTAACGGCACAAGAGGGGAGACGAGCGCTGCATCCATATGTGAGGAACTCATAGGATCATTACTTTTTTTCTAAAATGCCTCACTTCGGAAGTGATAAATAAATTATGAACAATTGTTTCATGTGGGCTGGACCGGTATAAAGCATCCATCTTAAAAATAGATACAAATAGGTAGTCAGTGTAAAAATAATTGTAACTAACGATCCAAATATTTTTTTAATATAATTATTATTTTTAAGTTTCTAAATTTTATTTATTTATTCATATTCATGACATCTATGTTAAATATTATATATACTCTAAAAATTAGGATCAAATCATATTTAAAAAATATATTTATTTCCAAGCCTAGAGTTCTACAATATGCTGGCAGGCCACATGCTAATCGCGTCCATAAATTATTGATTTTAAACTATTTTAGATCTTCAAAATTTGAAGTTAATACTTTCATTAACACTTTAGACATCGTAGGTGGTAAATCATTGTATATTTTCAAGATCTGAAAATCGAATCTTACAAGCCTCGACTTCGGCAAAAGACTATAGTAAGGGGTTGTCAATTCAGACTTTCAAGGTTGGAAGTAGACGTATTTAGGGATCAAATTAAAAATAATAAAACAAAGAAAGTAAAATACAAAACTTTGAAGGGAAACTATGATAACGATATCCAGGGAGTACGGACTTGACGTTCTAAGGGGAAAAGGGAGCTACAGCATAAGCCACTATTGCGATGTTACTGGAAAAAGTTTATATGAGGTTACAACCTTAAAATGTAGAACTAAGGTGCACATAAAAAATCTATCCAAAAAAGCTGTTTTGACAGTAAAAACCCTATAATTGATCGTCTTGACAGATGTCGAGATGTATGAATTTGAAAAAGAAAAAGATTATGAATCCCAAAAATATTGCATCTTACTTCATAGTATTTGGACAGTTCATTTTCAATATTTTCAAATGTTTACAACTCTACTTGATTTGAATCATTTTTTAAACTCAAAATTTATAATTAGAGATAAAAATGGATTTTTACGCCATCTTAATAATTTTTGACACCAATATTACATCTTACAAATTTTTTTGGAGGTGCTCCATTAAGGTTGCAACCTTATGCAAACCACACCAAAGATAGAAACTACATAATAAACTATTACTGTGTGGATTATGGTACATCATTGGGCTACTTACAATGCTTTCAATTGGATTTCGTATTGTAGATAATGAACTTTTTTTTTTTTTGACAAAGTGTAATAATAAATTTTAACTCATGTTTTGGCACAGGTGCCTTGTTATAGGGTTGTAAAGTAATGAAATGTAAACTTTTTATCTCTATTTATTAATGAAAAACGGGTAGGGGCTTTCTCTGCCAGACTCACCCAAAAAAAATCAACAATAGATGGTTACGGAATGTTGTTCTTGTGAAAAAATTGTCAAAATTTCAATGGACACTGATGGGTAAACCTTTGGCCCCATTTAACGTTTGTTGATATGGGATGGCTAGGGAGGTGCTAGTGAGCTTTAGGAAATCTAAGGGCGTGTTTGGTTTAGAAAGTTAATTTGGGAAATCGTTTTTATTTATTTTGAAAATCCTTTTGAACAAGAATTTTATAGGAAAAATGAAAACAAAGAAACAATTGAGTCTTTGAAGGTAGGGGTTTTGATGTTGAGAGGATAGGCAAAGGATTTTTGCATTAGGGTTTATGAGCGGGTATCCGTTAGAATGGATTTTTGCAAATTAAATCTTGATCCTTGAACCCTCAAGATGGGTGCCACCTCCGCAAGGTTGCTTAAAGTTAAACTTCGATAGAAATGTGAGAGTGGGTGAGCAAATAAATGGTTGGTTTTATGGGGTTAAGTTGAGAAACCATTTGTGGCAGGTAAGAAAGCTCACATCTATGCACAACTAATGAAGTGAAGTTGTGGGCTTTGAGGTTACTAGATTGGAGAGTTAGCATGTCGATATCATCATTAAAAGAGATTCTGCTAATGTCATGGCTGGTGTAAGCCACAAGAAAAACTCCTCGGTTTAGAGTCGTATTATGGATGAAATCTTCCACATGTTATGAAACAGACAAGTATTATCATCCATCAACATCAACAGAGAGATGAACGAAGATGCAGGTGCCCTAGCCAAATCAGCAACTTCTTATATGATTCAGACCTCTTCTGCCCTTTTTGTCTTTATAATTCATTTTTGCTTTTTTTTTATCATATTTTGTATCCTTTCATTAACTCCCCCTCCAACAAAAAAACAAATTTGATGATCTAATGAAATTTTTGTAACTTTTGTTAGAGAAAAAAAATAAATATGTTGGTTTTGGTTTGAATAGTGGGATATCTAAAATAAACTTTTATTCTCTCTATAATTTTTTTATGGTCTAAAGAAGTTGTATATTTATAAAAGAAAAAACCCCTAAACTCTAACTTATTTATTAAGAAATCCTAATCAATATTAAATCTTAGTCTTTTTATCTTTTTAATACTTCTCTACAATAAATAAAAATAAAAAAAATATGTAAATATCTTAAAAAGAAATTAGAAATCCAAAACAATCCCAAACATATATTTTAATCTCCCAAATAATCTTCATTATCGTCATCAACCGAGCATTTTCCCACCTATTTGGGGTCAGCCTCTCCAATCTAATTAAAATCATCGTTATCATTATTATAGTATTTTTCAAACTAATTGGGGTTGGCTACATAAATCTTAGTTTGTTATTCTACTCTATTAAAGGTCACACCCTCAATGAGGTCATATGTCTCCACATATTTTCTCTCTACTTTCAACCATGTCTTTTTTGGCTTATCCTTTATCATTTTTTAGCTTTCCACTTGAATTAATTTGCACTTCTTAACAGGTATTGTACTGGGCTTTCGCACTACATAGCCAACCCACTAAAGTATATTTTATCTCATCTTATTGCCTATTGACAACACACCAAAATTATCATGAATGTATTCATTTTAAATTCTATCTTTTATTGTCTTGCCACTAATCTAAAAAATAACAAAAATAAAAGTTAAAAAATCCGTAATTGCAACAAAGTTCCACCAACTGGACTTTGACATTAGTTGTACACTCAAAAGAAGATGTGCAATGTAACTCTCGGCTTCTATGAGCGTGCAAAAGCAACATCTTTTGACGTTGTTTTATGGAAGCCATTAAAATATGCCCTTAGTGATTGCGCATAACACTTCCTCGTGTAGTTGTTAGGATTGCATGTGAAACCAAACTAGAAAGGCTTAGTTTAATCAAATCGATTTGACTGCTAGTCGAATCAATTGTTTCTGATTTTAATAATATATAAAAATAATAATACTAGTAGTTTAAAATATAAAATATACTAATTTTTGACCAAGCTAGTTTTTTTGTTTTAGACTGAACCAACTAAAATACCAATCAATAGTTCTACAGATCAGACCACATCTTTGGAACACACATGTAAGAAAGGCGCATGACCCCCTGAGAGCATCGTTGGGGATAATTGGTAATGAGAACAAACGCTCCCCATAATGGATGTTACTTGTTACCTCGGATGTCTCTGCTGTAGTGAAACTTTCCCCCTTAAAGCGAAATACATTAGGATGGAATATTTTTTATGAAAAGATTTGGAGACTCACCTATCCTTTTGGAGCCTTCCTCTAAAATATTTCTCCAAGACATTTTCGATCCAAATTTTTAGTGCTGGATGATATCAATCATGATAATGATATAAATTTGGAATTTTGTTTTTAAAAATATATTTTTTGAATTATTTTTTCCAACATCTATTTTAACTTCGAATGGATGTAATATATTGAGACATCCGTCTCAAATATAAACTTTTAATAGACAAGAAGCTACATGGTAATAGGTGAATCAGATGACTCACCAAAACCGTTTTGTGTTTCTTAAAAGAAAAGTAGTTCATGCTTTCGGTGGCTTCACTTCCACGAAAGCACATGAAGATGCACTAATTTTAAAGATTGGTGGCCCGACCAAATTTTAAAATTAAAGGTGTTAAAATTATATTTTTTGTTTTATAATTTTAAATTTTAAAATTTGAAATCTAAAATTTATCTTTAAAATGAATTTTATAGAAAGAACTCATGAATAAATGAGGTGAATGACACTTGAAAACTTTGTCCATATATAATATTTTTTATAAACAAAGCGTGAGTGCCTTTTTGAGATTTACATGTCAAACAAATTGATGTAATGATTTTTTTGGTTTGGTTTAAATAAGAGGTTATTTATAAATAAATTATTTATTTTTTATAAATAGAGTTCATAATCATTTATACTCATTAAATATCAAATGGAATGGTTTAGAATAAATTGTAAAGTCCAACTTTGTTTAAACAACTATATTTATTCGACGAAACCTTTTCAAGTGATAACTATTCATTTTAAAATTTAATAATAAAAAATAATTGTGGTATACACGTAAAAAAAAAAAAACAAAAACGTGATCCCCCTTAAATATAGTGCACTACTTGCTGTTTCCTATTTTCCTACGTTGGAGCCTTTTCCATCAAATGTGCCGCCCGAAGATACTGCATGGCGTTCCTGGAAGGAAACGATTGGCCCACATCCGTTATTTCTCTCTCCTCTTTAAGACGTTACTTTCTCTCTCTGCCACATGACCCCAAATTCGGACGTTTTCTGCGTTTCTCTCTCCACGTTCGACGCCCGCGTCTTTCTCTCTCTACCTAGCTTACTTGAAGCACGTCTGAGGTATCTCTCTTACGTGGACCACGTCTGCTTTCTCTCTCTCACCTGCCCTTTTTCTCTCTCTACCAAATTCAAATTGCATTACATTAACTGCGCGCCGCCGCGACAAAAAGAATTATGAAATACGGTACGAGGGCTTTCGTGACCAACTAGGGTTCCGTTTGGCCATATCCGATTTTATCCTTACTCGTGTTTAAGGGTGATAACTACAGAAATTCTTAAAGAGTAGAGAGGACTCGTAGAGATATCTAAGTTATTCTTGATGGTTGTAACTTGTAAGTGATGTTTTCCTTTTCCATTTATTGCTATGGAGAAACATTGCTAGTGATATTTTGTGGTAATGAGGCTTGTATTCCTGGAAGCATGCCGAGTGAGCAAAATTGTTGCACTACCCATTTAGGCACAATTATAATAAAATTTTACGAACATGGCTAAGAAAATATATAGGTCGAAAAGATGCCTCAATGGGCACCTAAAAAATTAATTGGCTTAACGATGTTGGTATCTTTAGTTGCCCTCATGGGCAAGTTTCATGCCTCAATGGGCACCTAAAGATTTATTCCGCCTTAACAATGTTCTTATCTTTATCTGCCTTTATAGACAAGTGTTATGCCTCAATGGGTACCTAAAATTGAATCTCCTTAACAATGTTCTTATTATCTTTAACTGCCTTTTGGGCAAGTGTTATAACATGCACCCAAAAAAATATCCACGTTTCACCATTTCGCATACAGCAGTAAATAAGATTTGTTTATTATCAATATCAATAGAACTCGATTTTTCGGAAGTTTGAGGTGCCATTCATGGAGATGAACTCGCGAATAATGGCAAAGCACCCAAATTTGGCTCACTTTCAAGGGAGTCTTATTACTTAGAGCTAAAAAATAGGTCATCCAAACAGATCTTCAAAATAAAAAAATCATTCAAACAGGTCCTAGTTTATTACGTTAAGCTTAGGATTTCATGGGAAGACCATATCAGATATTTATGAAAATGTGAGGGCCTTTTTTGCCAAATTCTACGCTACCTGCGACAAGACGGCTGAGAGGCTTCTTCGAGACGCTACTTTGTCTGTTTGCGCGCGGGTCGAAGCATCTCCTCCCGCTCCCTGCTTCTCTCTCTTATATATGCTCTCTCTCTCTAAAATATCCTTTACTCTCACAACACTTTCGATTCTTACTTCCTCCCGTAGGTCTCTCAGCTCTAACCTTCTCTTAAGCATTGGTTTGTTCTTCTTCTTCTCTCTACAATTCTCTACTTTTTCTCTCTAGGATTCTGTGCTCAACATTCTCTGCGCCTTCTTTCAATCCGTAGATAACATCTCTCTGCCGCAACAATGCCGAGAAAATCCAGAAAAGCAAACCAACCTCAAGACGCAAATAAACCAGAAGGTGATGCTCCACCTTCTTCTCAAAGCTCTGCTCAGTCATCGAGCGGAGCTCCTCCTCCTGCTTCTTCGAGACGGCCACAGGCCACTGCGCCTCTTCCTTCTGGATCTTCTTCGAGACCACAGTCCACTGCGCCTCTTCCTTCTACGTCTTCTTCAAGGCCACAGGCTATGGCACCTCCTCCCTTCCCTGAGATGATGCAGAGTCTCTCAATTTCATCAAATGCGCCTCCTTCTTCCAGTAAGGCGCTGGTCCCTCCAAGGAGACCACCGCGTCCTGCAACTGCTGGGACTCGGTGTCTCGTAAATACTAACCATTTTCTTATTCAGCTCCATAACAAAGAGCTCTTCCACTACGATGTAAGTCGAGTCTCTGTGCATTTTCTCTACTTCTGGCAATGGTTAAATGGTGATGTGAGTTTTAGCTGTATTTGTTTATATGGCTCAATTTCTGTGTATTTTATCTGGCAATGTTTGAATGATACTTATGTTTTGGTTCTGGTTAATGTGAGTCATTCACTACACATTTTCCCTAGCAATGGTGGAACCATATTTACTTGTTAATCTGAGTGAATCTCTGTGCATTTTTTTTTCTGGCAATCTGCGAAATGATCCTTTGATTTTAGTTCTTCTTGTTAATGTGAGTCAACTTCTTTCCATTTTCTCTCGCAATGGTGAGATGATCCCTTGGTTTCAGTTTTTCTTTTTAATCTGATTCATTCTCTGTGCATTTCTTCTGGAAATGGTGAAATTATCCTTCGTGCTCTTGTCAAAAAAAAAAAATGGTGAAATTATCCTTTGATTTTGGCTCTTCCTTTTAACCTGAGTAATTCTCACGTTTTACTCTGCATTGCTGAATATGATGTCTGCGTTTGTTAATCTGAGTCCATCTCTGGACATTTTCTCTGGCAATGGTGAAATGATCATTCGATTTTTGCCCTTCTTGTTAGTCAATCTCAGCTCATTTTCTTTGGATCAATGGTGCAATTATTCTTTTGATTTTTTGCTCTTGTTGCTGCGCATCATTTGGCTGCACGTATTACCTGGTTTTGTGAATTGATCTTCCAGGCTGTAGATATTTTTGATACGATTTGTATCTCTGCACATTTTTGGTTTCTTCTGCTATGTGAAGCTAAATTTTAAGTTTTTAAGCACTTGCCAATGTGAGTCACATATGTTTGCATACTCTCTTTGGCAATGTGAAATGATCCTTTGGTTTTTGCAATGATCTTCTGAGTTCAAGCTCTCTTTATGAGTGTGATATCCATGCACATATGTTTTCTAGCAGATTAAGGAATTATACGTGATGGTTTAGCTCTTGTTGATGTTTGTTTCATATCACTGCACGTCTTCTCTTGCCATGGTTAAGCGTTCCTCTAATTGTTTGCTCTTATTAATGTGAGTCATGTCTCTGGGAACTTCCTCTTGCAATGTTAGTCGTACTTTTGCACATTTTCTCAGGAAAAATGACCTGATTCTTTAAGCTTAGCTCTTGCAGGCTTTGGTCTTCTCTGTGCATTCTCTTTAGCATTGTAAAATTATAGTTTAGGCTTTAGCTCTAGTATTCTTAACGTTTTCTTTTTGGTAAATTCAGGTGGCTATTACTCCTGAGGTTCAATCCAGGGGAAAGAACAGGGTCATTATCAGGGAGCTCATTCGACTGTACAAGGATTCCAATCTAGGGAAAAGGCTACCAGCATATGATGGGAGGAAGAGTTTGTATGCGGCAGGCTCCTTTCCCTTCACTTCCAAGGATTTTGTGGTTAAACTTTCTGATGAAGCAGGATCCAGCAGCTTGCCAAGGTAATCTGTTGCCCCCTTTCCTTTTGAATCCAATGCTTCTTGTGAACCTTATGTGGTGTTGTTATCTGAGGAAATAAATTTTGTGGTTGGTTAATTGTACTCAATTGTTTATGTTTGATGAATGTCTGATTTTGTGATAGTAATCTAGGGTTTCTTGCTTCTCTTTTCCTTTTAATTTTTGAGTAATTGGAAACTCTGTATTAAGATTTGAGTATTTGATAATATATGTCACGTTGTTGCTCAGGATGCTTATTGTGTTATTTTCATCAATGTCTGATTTCATTTCTTTATCCATATTTACACTTTCTTTCAAGTTCCTTGCTTTGTGTAGGTTTGAGACTGAGGGTGAAGTCTTCTTTCATTACATGCTGGATTCTCAAGACTGTCTTGTTAATTTGTCAACAAATAATGAGAGGCTCTTGAGAAAAATGAAGATAAAAATCATTCCATTATTAAACTAATGGAACCATTCTTTCATTCCATTATTTAGTCAGAAAATGATGTTCATGAATTTCTAGCAATGCTTGAAAACTAATATCTTGGTTATATATTGTTCTTCAGCCTTTGTAATTTCTGTTAGGTATTGATGTTTAGATCTGAACATCAGTAGAAATTATAGATGATTCTATGTTGTTAATTGCAGGGTTCTTGATTGCTTTGTTTTAAAATATATGAATGGGTGATGCTCAGAATAACATACTACGTTGTATTGCTACGTGTCTGATTCTATTTTCTCCTGGGGAAATGACCTCCATGTGTTATATTCTTGAACTTCTGGTTTGATGGTTATTTCAATGTTTGTCAAGAAATCATGTTCATGATTGCTGATGATGCTAAAGAGAGTCTGATTCTACCTTGTTGATACAGGGTTCTAGATTTTTTTTTTTATATGACTGATTGATGCTCATTACCTTGTCATTATCAGAAAATATGTCTGATTCATGAATGGTGTTTGTTCTCCAAAAATAAAACTGTTACATGAAGGCTGTTTTTGCTTAGAAAATAATGCAACCTTTGTTGTTGATCCTGAGTTTCGTACTTTTTTTTTTTTAACCAGGGATTAATGCTCACAAACTTTGACACCCTTTGAAATAATGTCTGATTCTATATTGCTAATCCAGTTTCTCAAATTTTTCATCAAAATTCATGATTTGAATTGGTGACCCCGTGTTGTGTGGATAAGTTTGTGACTCTGTGTTATCTGTGAGGCCATGAACCTTGCTATGATCTGTTGATGAATTTTAATTTCCTTGTTTGAGTTGATTTTTCATCAAAGAATATTCATCAATATAAATACCATGTTATGTTGATAAGTTTCTTGTTCCGTTGGATATCAAACAAAAAAACAGTGCCAATGTGTTTAATATGAGGTGATAAATCTTGAGAAAAAAGGATAAATCTTGATGTGATCTTTGAGGACTTTTTCCTGCCTTGTTTGATGCAATATCTCGTCGAAGAAGATATATTGTTTGTGATTCTTTATGGTCAAGCCAAGGTTTCTTGATTTTTGTTCTAGTGTTTGATGTTCAACACATTATCATTAGCACGAAATATTCTCTGAAAGTGAATATTGATTCGATGTTGTTAGTCCTCTTGTTCATGGTTTCTCTAGGAGGAGTTGATGCTCGAAATGTGGTTTTCATTTAAAAATAATCTCTGATTCTATACTGGTTTCTAGGGCATATTTCTTTTTGGATCCTTAAATCGTCTACATGCGCTTAGTACTAAAAAATCATATTGATGTGGATGTTGCTGATTATCTCTGCACTCTGTGGATCGAGTGTCCTACTCTGTATCATCTATGTGGGGATTTTTTTGTCAGACGTGTTCTTTAAAAATTTGATTTTCATGAATGTTGATGACGCACACTAGTATTTTCTCACTCAATATCGTTATTCCAGATGTTCTTGATTCCTGTGCAGGGTATTTGATGCTCAACACTAGGGCATTAATGAAAATAAATTTTGATTCTATGTTAATTAAGGATATTTATTACCATACCTTTAATCTTTTGCATGAGTGATCTCAAAACAAGGTTCCTGAATGTTGACAATTATCTATTTGTTCATTTGAGGGTAGTGTCTTATTCTGTCTTATTGGTCTAAGGATTTTGGTCTATGTCTAGATATGGGTTCTCTTTTTTTATTTCTTTAAGTTAGAACCTCTTCAGCAGTTACTTTTTTTATGTTTGTTTTTGCATGTCTCATTCTATTTTGAATTGGTTCAGCCGAGAGAAAGAGTACAAAGTAACGATTCGATTTGCTGCAAGCTTTGATCTACATCATCTACAGCAGTTCCTTCAAGGAATGCAAATGGATTGTCCTCAAGAGGCAATACAGGCCCTTGATGTGGTTCTCCGAGAACTTCCTAGTAGAAAGTATGGCCTGTTCTTTATTTTGTTTTTTGATAAGTTTTTGGAATTATTTTAGGCAATATCAACTTTTCCTGTTCCTATAGATTCTTGCTGTTGTGTTTTTTATTCTTTAATTTGGGATTTTTTTGTATTATTCCTCAGTTACACGCCTGTTGGCCGGTCATTCTTTTCGTCAAAATTTGGAAAAGAAGAAATTGGTGATGGCTTAGAATGCTGGAGAGGATTTTATCAAAGCATTCGACCCACACAGATGGGTCTGTCCCTTAATACTGGTAGGTCTCTTTGTTTGCCTCCTTTAACTTCATTTTTAATTGCAACTCAGTGTTGGCATCTATTCACTATGCACTAGATAATTGTTTAAATTGGATTACATTGTAAGTTGAAACTTGTAATTTCTTATTTCTTCTGCAGACGTATCTACAACCGCATTTTATGAACCAGTTCCTGTAATAAGTTTTGTTTCAAAACTTTTTAACAAGGATCCACCCAAACAGTTTTCTGATGCTGAGAAAGTGAAGGTGCTAGACTCAAGCATTTGTTCTTGTGCAGTTCTTATTGCTTTGTTCATCTTAGTCATACTCCTGGAAGTTTCCCAATTCTTGCTTATTTGTGTTGACCTAGCAACCTGTGGTCTTTAAAATTTCCTGTTCTTCTCTTTTGTTTTCCATCGATTTTATGGGCCTTGCTGATCTATCTGACCATGTATCCTCATGGTTACTATCTTTTATTTATTATTATGAAATTTCTCTTATCCAATTGGCATATTTTAGGTGAAAAAGGCTCTTAGAGGTGTTAAGATTGAGGTCACTCATACCCCTGCAAAAAGGAGATATCGCGTTTCTGGTATAACCAGGGAGTCGACAAACCAGTTAGCGTGAGTTTTGATATTCGATTTTCTTGTGAAATGTTTTTCTTACTCTTACTCCTCCAATTTCTTGTAATTCTCTTCTTTTGTTTGAGGAATCTTAGATGGTGTCTTAGGATATTACTGTTCAGCTAAAGATGAGTCTTCTTTTCCTTTTAATTTGTCGCTTATCATTGAAATGTTTTCCTATCTGGGGATTTAGGAGTTCGGTGATATGATTTGTTTCTTGTTTGTATGAACCTGTATTTTCCAGTTTTTCCATTGAGGAGCAAGGTACAAGGACAACTGTAGTTCAGTATTTTAGGGATAAATACAACTATCATCTTCGGTATGCTAACTGGCCAGCTTTAGAAGTCGGTAATGACCGCAAGAAGACATACATGCCTATGGAGGTTTCTGCCTTCCATCTACTGCACTCTATTTGTTTTCCACGATTGTCCTTGTCATATATGCTCAAAGTTTGATATATAACCTTTTGTGGCAGGTGTGTAAGATTGTCGAGGGACAACGGTATACGAAAAAGTTGAATGAAAAGCAGGTGACAGCCATACTGAGAGCTTCTTGTCAACGACCTCGTGAACGTGAGCAGAAATGCATAGACGTAATACTTTCTTGTTCCTTTTTTTTTTTTTGGATGTTTCTTAATAATCACATTGTTGTATGAAAGCTTCTTTTCTTTGACAATGAGTTTATTCCTTCTTGCGTCACTTAATCCTTTTTATGTGGTTTTCCTTTTTGATTGCACAGATGATTAGAAACAGCAGATTCAGTGAGGACCCTTTTGCTCGTGAATTTGGTATTAGAGTCAGCGATAGTATCACTACTGTTGATGCGCGTGTTTTACCCCCTCCGAGGGTAAATTGTTCGATCTAATAGGTTTTCTTATTTTTGTTTTTTGTTTGATCTAATGATATGATGTTAAAATGAGTTCTTAATCTGATTGTCCTGATGCAGTTGAAGTATCATGACTCTGGGAAGGAGAAAGATTGCACTCCACGTGTGGGCCAGTGGAATATGATAAATAAGGTGAGATTCTCTTTCCCCTACTCTGCATAGATCCAGTATTGTGCAACCTTCCTCTTTTTACACTATTCATGCATGTCTGAGAAGCTTAATCTATGCATGTCAATGAAAGTATTTCATAATGTGTTTCATGGTATGATCTTGTGTTTTATGGTATCTTTTATTTATTTTATATGTATTTTTTTAACCATTACCCACGATTTTGTCTTACATTTTAGAAAATGGTTAATCCTGGTGCTGTTCCGACTTGGGTTTGCATAAACTTTTCAAGAGTTAACTTCAATGCGGTTCAAGGTTTTTGTCAGGACCTTGTTACTATGTGCAGAAACATGGGCATGGTATTATGGATTCACCCTCTCAATGACTCAGCTATGATATATATGCATTGTCTTTTTTTAGCATTTGTCCTATTGATTATTCTGCTGACTTTTTTTCTGATATTATATAGGATTTCAATCCAAGGCCGTTTCTTCCTATAGAAAATGCTCGTCCAGATCAGGTTGAGAAGCTATTAATGTTTGTGCATCAAAAAACAGCAGGAACTCATCTTACTTTGCTGATTGTTATCTTACCGGAAGTAACTGGATCATCATATGGTACACTTGTCACATACATGACTTTATATTATATTGCCAATGTTATCTTCATTCTTTTTCTTACGTCTCTGAGGTAACATTTGATTGCTATTATCATTTGTGCAATTACAGGTCAGTTGAAATGCATATGTGAGACACAGCATGGCATTGTCTCGCAATGTTGCAAGCCAAGAAATGTCACCAAACCTAACAGGCAACAGTATCTTGAGAATGTGGCTTTGAAAATCAATGTAAAGGTTTGTAGCACGTCCAAGTATTTTGCCTCTGTATTCCTTTCCTCTAATTAAGTAAATCAATGTCAAGGTTCGTGCTATTTCTAAATTGCTTGCATCTGTGTTGCTTTCCTCCCAAGTTGTGGCAATTGGCATTTATTGTTTGTGTTACTGTATCGTAGGTGGGTGGTAGGAATTCAGTGCTTGTTGATGCATTAACACGCAGAATTCCTATGGTATCGGACGTGCCCACTATAATATTTGGTGCAGATGTCACCCATCCTCCACCAGGGGAGGACTCAAGTCCTTCCATTTCAGCTGTAAGAGTGTTACAGAAATATTTTATTGGTGACCTAACAAAGAAGCATAAACAATGCTTTCATGCAATTTACTAGTTTCACAAGACCAAGATTTCATGCAATCTCTTCCATCTTTTTATGTTTTTCATGATCACGAATACCTCATTGAAGACCCATAAAATGCTTTTGTAGGTTGTAGCTTCTCAGGATTGGCCTGAGGTAACCAAATACATGGGCCTTGTTTCCGCCCAATCACATCGAAGGGAGATAATAGCTGATCTGTATACTTGTCAGCGACACCCAACAAAGGGACTTGTACACGGCGGTATGATTCGGTAGGTGACAGCCTAACCTAAGAGGGAAGAATCGGTCATTACTTGCACAGTTTTACTATTATTGTCTGACCAGTTATGTGGGAAACACACTCCTAATTTGATAAGATGTGGTTTTGTGGCATATAGATTTGTGAATTTGTCGAAGATAAGATTAGTATGTCGCTTCACTAATTTTTAATGATGCCTTTGTTAGGGATCTTCTGATTTCATTCAAAATAGCAACAAGACAAAAGCCTCAGCGGATCATCTTCTACAGGTAAATATAGTCTTGAAATTAATTCAGTGCAGTACCTCTTGTTCTTGTATTGTTCAGTAATGCTTAGTCGTCCTATGGTGTGGTCTCTCAGAGATGGAGTTAGTGAGGGCCAGTTCAATCAAGTCTTGCTTGAGGAAATGGACGCAATCCGTAAGGTAACGTTCAAAGTCTATATTCTTGCTTTTTTTTATTGATTCCTTGAATTTTTCCTGTTGGTTATAGAATTTTGATTTGGTTTTACCTTATTATAGGCCTGTGCTTCATTGGAGGAGGGCTATCTGCCTCCTGTGACTTTTATTGTCTGTCAAAAGCGACATCACACCCGATTGTTCACAAATAATCACAACAACCAGAGTTCGGTGGATAGAAGTGGAAATATTCTACCTGGTAATGATTGCTAGTTCTTCTTAGAGTGACCACTTATCGTTCTTTGGGAATTTGTTTTGACTGAATTGGTTCATTGGTAGGTACGGTGGTGGATACAAAAATTTGCCACCCCTCAGAGTTTGATTTCTATCTGTGCAGTCATGCTGGCATACAGGTAACTTCAGTGACATGCAAAAGTTACTCTGGTTTTATCTCTGTTTTTTTCGTTCTTGTGCTGATTTTCAATGGATGGATTTTGCAGGGTACTAGTAGGCCTGCTCACTATCATGTGCTCTATGATGAGAACAGCTTCAGTGCTGATGGCCTTCAAAGCCTAACCAACAATTTGTGTTATACGTAAGTAATCTATTTTGTTATTGCAAGTTTCCGTTACTCTGTAAAAGACAGGAAACATTTTTTTTTTTGGTATTTTGCGTTTCAGTGAGATAATTGATGCTTAAGGCTCTTTTTTTACTCTGCAATTTATTTTGTTTTCATGCACCCTCAGATATGCTCGTTGCACCCGCTCGGTCTCAATAGGTAATTTTATTCTCTTGTGAGAGTTTTATGCTTAGATGTTTGATTAGCTCATTGGTGTTTGATTTGCGAATGCAGTTCCCCCGGCATACTATGCACACCTTGCCGCCTTTCGAGCACGGTATTATTTGGAGGCCTCTCTCTCAGAGGATGGGTCATCTGCAGGTGGGCTTAACAGACAGGCAGGGGATGTTGCTATAAGGCCTCCTCTACCTGCCATTAAAGAAAATGTGAAGCAGGTGATGTTCTTTTGTTGATGTGAGAGTGAGAAAACTAGCTGTTTGCCATGTTTTTTACCCACTACTTGCGTAATCTTCATGGAGTGCTTTTGTTGATATATAAACAATTTGGCCTGAGTTTTTGTAAATTTTACTTAAATCCTGAAAGTGATCATATGTAACTGTGTACCAGTTGAAGATTTTCCTGTGATCATCACAGTTTAAAAGAAGATGGACATAATTGAAATTGGACGAGCCTTGCTGTTGTTGGTGATATTGACCACCATTGGCCTGTGGATTTTATATGTTTTAAATTTTTGATGGATACCTGTGCTATGTATTTATATCAGGAGGATTTATTTTCAAATGGGTTGGCCTCTGGATTTTCCAAAGCAGAAGGCCTGTGGTCTCTTCTAAAGCCAATAAGCCATGACCCCAATACACCAAGATATTATAAAACAAGAAGATTTTTAGACGTGATCAGAGGTTTTTAAAAAATATGATTTTTGAAACATGATTTTATGAATTTGACTCTGTTTCCTAAAACCTAATATATTTTGATGGTTAATCTCTAGATCTTATTGGCCTTTTTTTTTTTCTTTCGTTTTTCCTGATGATTGGCGAGGATGACTTTCCTAGATCTCCATGTATAAAGTCATACTACAGTATGCCAGCAATAATCTCCACCATCACTACTTCATTGGTTGTTGGAGATGTGCCTTTCTCTGCTTACGTCCGTCAACGGTGAGGATCGCTTGTATTGGTGTATTAGCATTTGATATGTAGCATGCATTGTTTGATGAGAACATAGTTAAAACATTGTCTGTCACCCCAAACACTGATAGTTTTTATCTGAAGATTTTCGGATTGTTCTCAGTCATCTCTAAATCAAACGTAAAAAAAATAAAAATTGAGGTATAAAAAAAGTTCTAAATCGATCTCTTGAAGATGACTCGAAGACTGCTTATCTAGAGAATTTAAAAGTCATGCTCTTACCTTACTCTGTTATAGATGAATTTGATTTACTAAAATGGGGAGTTTTGGGGAAGAAATTACGTCCACCTTTAGAGGACTTTGCATGGTCGACTCAAGCCCCATTCATACAGGCCCGGGGGAGTCTGTACATGTTATAATAATTGTATGTACAAACTGGGGCGAGTTTGTACATGTTATAAAACCGATAAAAGAATTTCTGAATTTGGTAGGTTCCTACTTGGAGCTGACCCCTTGATGAGTTTGAGGGACTTTGGTAAGTTGTGAAATACCAAAATTTAGCGAACTTCATTTCCATGACCCAGTTTGTTTAGAACTTCAGATCTATATAAACTTTTTTTTATATTTTAAAAGGATTGTCAACGTAGAGAGTATCATTTGTATATGGAAGTCACAATCATTTCCATTCATTAAGTATTTATCATTAAAAAAAAAAAAAGGTAGTTGAACTCCATTTTATTGGTATTTGTTTAGCTCCAAAAAGTGTATTTGTTATCGGGCTTCAACAACGGGGCACTTTAGAAATTGTATTTTCCTTGGTTGTGTTTGAAATCGATGTTTTTAAGTCATTTGATTCATCCATTCCTTAAAGCTACAGTACATCCTGGGTTTATACTTAAACACAAACAATACATCCGGACAAGCCAAGGATTGTAAGGTAGTCAGACAGTGGTACCAGGTGGTCCGGACAAGTTTTGATAGCTATGATGAGGATATCATAATCATGAGAGAGAAAGAGATCAAGTTTATATGTAAATATTAAAATTATAATATTATAAACAACCCAAAGTACCAGGTATTTTTTTTAAAATGAAAATAAGACATTATTGCATCATTTTCAGGGGAGATTTTGTATCTACAAAATTAACATTAAAAAAAAGAAGAAAAGAATCTAGGAAATTTCTAGACTCACTTGTTTGTACCTTGTATTACAAAGATTTTTAAACCCTAAATTTGCAGTTATTTGTCTCCAATTTAATAGTGAACTTTGAGCAGTTGTTCTTTGGTTGATGTGGAATGGTGCGTGTTTCATTCATCCTTCATAATGGAGAAGAAAAAGAGCAAATTCAAACCCTGATCGCCCTTCATATTGAAGAATTTGATCTGACCCTAAGCATAACTGACATTAACTTGAAAAACAAACTTAATTGAAAGCTTGGGAGATGCTTTCCAAACATTTTTACGGAAACTAATGATTAGGTTTTAGTAACTTGGTTCTAAGCAAGGCCATAGTCTTCCACTTTCTTTAATGGAAGTTTTGGAATAACAGGGTTATAAGGAATGAGGGATAGTTGTAAGATAAACATGGAATCAATGCAATAGTATTCGATATGTATATGAGCGTCAGAATCTCTCATTTTAATTTGCTTTTTGACACAGCTCATCTTGTACACCGTCTAAAGACCGGAAGAGATGAGATCCTAAGTGACGTTATTGTGGGACATCAAGAAAAATATTAAAAAAAAAAATCTACATTTCTAAAGTATCTGACACTATCCTCAGTGTGTAGACATACGCAAAATACCATACACTGGTATCCATGTTCTACTAGAGAGAGCAAATAATTAAAACTAAATCAAAATCAGATTCAGGATAATAAAACAGGTCCTGGCCATGGGAATAACAAATGGGGTCAAATCTGAAGTCCAAGCTTCAGTGTCTCATCATCCACCACCATGATGCAGTTGGTCTCTCAAGTGCCACATGGCCTTTCAAGATAAGCATCAAAACTTCTTTCTCCAAGATTCCATAGCCAAGAACAAGAGCTTTGAGACCTGGAATTCGCTCTACAATGATAGATGCCTCCTCTTGTGAGAGCTCAAAACCTTCAAGCTTGAGTTCCATTAATCTCTTGCAATGGTCCCCAATTTCAAACAGAACATCTTTCAATCCCACAAGTTACCAGCCATAGGAATCCGTTGTGAGAGTTAGATGGCTCAAATGTAAAGTCTCAAGGGCCCCAAACTTTGGAGCAGCCTCATTTATGGCCTTCAGTGACACTATAGTTTGTCATGGACAAGAATTCGAGTGTTTTGCACCCGAATGAAACAACACTTGTTGAGAGAGAGAGATGGCTCACCTATTCATGAAACAACGCTTGTTTAACCACATTGTGAGAGAGAGAGAGGGAGGGAGATGCTCACCATGTATGAAACAGTTGAGAGAGTAAGAGGGCTCAACTATGCATGAAACAACGATTGTTTAACCACTTTAGTGAGAGAGAGAGAGAGAGAGAGAGAGGGATATGCTCACCCATGTATGAAACACTATTGGTTTAACCCAAGGTTTTAAGACTCACGGAGTTGACTCCAACTCAGGACCTTGTCAACACAGGTTCCTAGGTTATACAAAAAAGCATAAGGAAATAAAACTTCCTACTTTTTACTCAATCAATGCATAAATGTCTTATATATATATAATTTTGATGTTTGTTATGTTTTGAGTTTTTTTCCTAGCATATGTTATATTTTCTCTTTTCTTAGATTTTTGTAACTCATAAATTAAATTTTTCTAAATTTCGTCTTTATATTTTTTTCAATCTTTTTTGGACTTTTAATGTTGTTTATAGTCTATTTTGTTTTTACTTTTGAAAAAAATTTCGATAAAGTTCAACTTTAAGCTGCATCTCAAAAATCAATCATAAAAAGGTTATCTTGACTATGGAAAACCCTCTAGTTGATCATCTTGTAGTCGAGATGTATGGATATAGAAAAAATACTTCTAAGTCTAAAAAATAGAGCATCTTGTAATACACGTCTTTTTAATAGATTTCCTCATATTTTATTGATTTGCTTGATTTTTAATAGATTTCCTCATCTTGTAAACAACGGGAATTGGGTGTCCTTGATTTTTCTTTTCTCTCCTCTTATATCACATGGACACCGACAAGAAAACAACGGTAATTGGGTATCCTTAATTTTCCTTTTCTTTCCTTGATCATCCTCTCTCTCCGTATTTCCTTTTTCTAAAATTTCTCTCTCTCCATCTTTTACTTTTTCTAAAATTTCTCTCTCTCCATCTTATACTTTTTCTAAAATTTCTCTCTCTCCATCTTTTACTTTTTCTAAGATATCTTTCTCTCAAATCATGAGTGATTTACTTTTCCCCACAAGGCAAATAGGGAAAGTAAAGTTTCTTCGTATTATTCCAAAGAATAGGACTTTTCCCAGAATGGTTTGATGGGGCTCCAGCCCTATCAAAATGAGTAAAGCCTCACTCACCTTACTGAAAAATTGTAGTTTTAGCATCGACAAACCTTCAATCGATCATAATGGCTTGACCATTATGGTTGTGAAAAAAAAGAAAAGACAAAAGGAGATTTCAAACCTTAAAAATGGTATAAATTGTAACCAGTGATTAAACAAACGTTGAGTCGAACTAGACTCTCCCGGTTCGATTCGGGAATCGACATGAGACGTTTCGAATTACTCAAAAAATCGGGAATCGCCCGGTTCTAGAGAGAACCGGGGGATTCTGTACAGTGACTCGCCGGTTCACTGTATGGAATCGGCGAGTCCCGTGAAGAACACGGGCTGCACAATGTTCTACACGGGATTCTTCAAAATTTGTCATTTTTTTATCATTTTTCTTGTTTTTTTTTCATGTGATCTAATATGCAGGCTTTAAACAGCTTTATTCAGCTTTTTCACGGATTAAATGGTTGAGAAATTTTGTGTTTTTGGATAACGAAAGTTGCATTTTTAGGGTTTCTGCCTTTTCTTGTATTTCATGCCAAATAGGGCATGAATCTGTCAAAATTTGTAGGCATTTTGATCGTAAAGTTGTTCATCAAAACCTTCTGTTATGAATTTGTGATAATCGTTGAGAAAAACAGAGTTATTTGGAGATTGAAGGCTCGGGTTCACAAAACCAGGTAAGAAGTTTGGGTTTTTTTTTTTTCCGCCATATGATTAATTTCACTGCATATTTTGAAGATAATGAGTTCAATTTGTAGGGTTTTTAATCTTTATTATGTCTATTATGATTTAACATATTCAATTTTATTTAATTTGGTCAATTACAACATGAATTTTTAGATGAACACAGTGATGTCTGTGGAAAAAAATTTCTGATGTTTTTTTTTTTTTTTTTCCGACTTTCGATTTTTTGTTCATGATATATTACAAATAATGTGTTAGATTTCTAGCGTTTTTAATCGTTATAGTGTTGTTTATAATTAGATGTATTCAATTTGATCTGATTTATTCAATTTGAGCTTCATTTTTTAGATTCAATGACTGTTGCCTGTGAAGAAAAGAACTGCGTTTTTTTTTTTTGCTCAATTTAATAGATTTGATTTGATTTATT